GCGATGCCCCGAAGTACGGAGTCTCTTCCGGCAATATCAACCGACCTGCCTTCGAGATGGGCCGCTCTCCGCGTACCTTCGACTCCTCCTTCCTTTCCTCCTCGCGTGCTCGCGTCGCGTGGAGTGCCGCCGCTGTCGGTGGAAACGGCGCAGAAGCTATTACTCGGCGAAAACTTACTTTTCTCGGCGAAATTACTTTCACGAAGTATCTTATTTCGTCGCGCGTCGGCGAGAGAGAAGAGCCTGCCAACGGCTTTCCAGCCACGGGGAAAGAGAACGCGCTCTCGGCGCGGAGATTCTCGCATCGCCCGCGTCCCTCGCGAAGACGTCGCACGTCGCCAGCGGTATACCGCGTGCTTGTTTGTTTCGACGAGCCTGCCGAGATGGATCGCGCGCGCCGCGCTTCGTTGTGCGTCTCGCAGAGATTGGAACAGGCGTACTTACGTGTACGATTCGCTGCGAGGTTCTTGCGAAGTATATATAACAGATGGATCGACGTATTCCGCAGCGACAACGCTGAAAAATGCACGATGCACTTCTTACAAGTTCACGATTGCGCGCGTGCAGCTGCATTTTGACGAAATTGATGGTGACGAAGGGGATGGGGCATGGAAACGAAAAAGAAAGATCGTATTGATGTAAACTAATGTTTAACTAATTTAAGACTGGGTGATACTGATATAACGTGATGCTTACGGTATACAGCCATGAAAGCCGGTAAATGCATGGTTCACCGTTCGGTGGTTTACCGTCGGTTTGCATTGTGTTTCGATGTATTCAAATTGTTACTCACTCTGACGTTAGTTATTTTGCTTGACGGCAAGAATACAAGGGCTTCGTACCATAGGCTGTCAGTATCAAATTATTATGTGATGGGATCTCTTAGTTGCATTGTTATAGTAACAATATGGCAACAATATCACGCAGTGATCCTTTGCAAATTAACATAAAGTGTTATTGAATCACGTCTTTTTGTTAACCAATACTGATTGTTCTAGCAAGGAAAATATTTCGATAAAAAGAAGAAAAAATCTATAGTTTCAAGTGCAAAAATTTAGATTGTATAATAATAAAACAACATTTCTACAACATCAATGAACATTGACTATTGACACTTTTGCACTTTACCTTTAGCGCTTACATTCCGCGTCGCTGAGAGCTTCATGTGAAATGGATACGTATCTTCTGACGTTTGCTATTTTGCCAAACAATCGCAAGGTATTTTATTATTGTAGCATCGATGTATCGATTACGGTCGTAACTAGTTCGGTTCAATTGTCAAAAACCGGGCTGCGCGCGTGTGGGCATTGCGAAATATAATCAGGCCTGCAATCAGAATCCCGAAACTGGGTTAGAGGGAGAGGCTGTAATCAGAATACATTGAATTACACCGTTATCGTGCTCCGCATAATGTTGCATAATATAACGTACACGATCAATTATGCGACGATATTTGTGCTTAATTATGCACGTAAGCTGGGAATTCTCACGCTGATATCGACAATCACTTTTCGACTCGCATTACGCGCATAGATTATGGATATGCCGTTGCCGATTACGAATGCACAGATGGTCGGATGCGCCGATCTGTTAATGATAATTAACAAAAGCTTTAATACATCCCGCGGAGAGACGGGACTATATAAGATATTGCTTGTCAGTTTCGCTTTGCATTCGATATGCGAAATTAAACAATATTGCACATGATACCGGAAAAAAAGATTAGAACTTAGGATGTATACCTATAGTATATATTATCGATGAAATATTCGCCAAGTTTTTCGTGATTTATGAAACAAAGGGTATCTCGTTAAGAATTCGCAATATGTAATCCTCGTCATTTGCATCGTTCGTTTGCCAAGAGACGTCTTTAGCTTCTGCAGGTCGCTTCCAGCCCGCGGTAAAACCGCGATTTTAATTATTGCGCTTAATATTACAGCGTTTAGCATAGAATTATACTTGCAAACGAAATATCCTCCGCGTTGACTCAAAAATTATCAAGCGTAATTCAACCTGACAAGATTCCTCAATATCGCGGGAACTGAAATTAATTCGCGACTTTCTTCCGCCGACTCCGTCGAATCTCGATAGGTAGTAATCGATAAGCCAAGTTGGTTTCCGCTCGATGCCGGTCAAAGGTTCGATCGGGAAAATAAATCGAGTAGCGGGTGATGAGAGGCAACGGCATAAAGAAAAGGAGTTAGGACGGAGGATGGCAAGGGGGATGTCAGGTTGTGTAGACGTGAAGGAAAAGAAAAAACGAAGAAGGATATCCACTTAGCGAGAGAGCAAGAGGGATACGCGTGCCTTGAGATCGGGATAAGATGGGAGAGGGTATCTCAGAGTCGTGGCACGCGACTTTCTCCTCCTGCTTCTCTTTCTGTCGTGCCTCGTCTGATCTACGTTATTTAAACTTACTTCTTTCTGCTGTTGCTACTGCTCCTGCTGCTGCTGATGCTGCTGCTGCTGCTGCTGCTGGTGCAGTACGATGCAGCCTTTAATTCGTAATGCTTACCTTCTACGCAACGAGAATCAACACCGATATATGTTGCTTCGCGTCCTCCGTCCTCTCTTGACCGCCTAATTTTGACGTCGCTCGCGTTTCATTCCGCTCGTTTTCTTCTACTGCTTTTACATCGCGCCACTTCTTTACGATCTCTCTCTGACATTAAGTCTTCGGTCTTTTTACGAGACTTCCGCGAAGGCAAACGTCCTCTGTTACTTTCCGGTGCGTTCGACCGCGCGAAGCGAAGAGAGAGAGAGAGAGAAAGAGAGAGAGAGAGAGAGAGAGAGAGAGAGAGAGAGAGAGAGAGAGA